GCGCCTCAGAGGGAAACATGCTTGTTGGAGTGTAAACTGGTACAAAGCGTCTGCCGCTCTACATCGTTTGACATCATTTGTTTGCTCCATTAGCTTTGTGTCATTCTCCTCTGCAGCTCCGCGGCTCACTGCTAATGATTTGTCCTCCAAAAAGCAGATTAGGAGTTAGTGTGTTAGTTACATTATGTGTAAAATCAAAAGAAATCACATTTTTGCCTGAGATGACCGGACGATGCAAGTAGTTTTTAGCCGTTGGATTAAGAAGTCCAATATTTAGGTTTGTGATGCAGCAGAAAAAACGATTCTCTGAATTTCTAAAATAACACGTCCAGGAAATAGTGCCGTTTTTCTGGTTGCATTCAGGCCAAACCATCAACACCTCTAATAGACTTGTTTGCAAAACCACACTTTCCGATTGCAGGGTGACACTGTGTGAAGGTCGGGCCTCTCCGAAGCAAACAAAGCTGGATGATGACATCACTGCTGCACAGCAAAAACACACACGCATGACAAAGACTGACAAATAGTCAAGGAAGAGCTGCGATTGCTATTTGATCATGACAGGAGGGGCAGAGCTGTGTTGACTGATAGCATCTGTGGCCTGTTGCTATGTAGCAACTGGTCGCCTGGAAATTATTTCTAGAGTAATGAGTTACCGGCTGACGAGTACTTCAGTGGAGATCCGAATGTGTGATTGGATTTATAGGCAATGAGATGGTACACTGCAGGTACGCCTGACAGCGAGTGTCACTGTTTCCTCTAGCGTGAGAGATAAGTTCCTCCTGTACTGGTAATGAACCAGTTAAATAAAACCTTGGTCAGGCCCGTGTGTCCACAACAGGTTCAGCTGCACTAGTTGCCAGGAGCCTTATCTCAGCTTCGGTGTCACCAACTGTGACGTCAGCGAAACAGCTGTCACCAAACAAGTGATATATGGAGTATAATGGACATTTTAATTTTTAATCACCACATTTCTCAGGTGAAAAATAGGTCGAGCCCTGCTAATAATGGGATCGTCAAATGTGCCAGCTGCATTTGATCTCGCCATCCATTCGCATTATTTCAGTCACTCCTTAATTTACAGGGATTCTGGAGATCAATCCAATCCGACATATTTCCGTGAACTTCTGAGACTCAGTTTGGTGTTTATTTTATTAAAAGTCTGCATTGGAGCAGGCTGCGGTTTTATGAGAATAAAATCTATATAACACTTTTGTATAATTGCAAATTACCAAAAGCTCTCATGTTGCCCAGAATTTTATGCTCGGTGTTGAAACTGTGTTTCAATCCCAGTCAAATGCTTATCAAACCAAATCTGTTTAAGTCATTTGTCTCACCATCTGTGGTCCAGGTAAAGACTTAACTATGGTTTGGGGTGAATACATGAATTCAAATGACGCACTTCCAATATCCTTTTATACTTTTAATAGCTTTGTGGGCAATGATGGTCAAAAGAATATCAGAAATAATTATCATTGAGTATTTATGGCCATACGTTAAAGTTACAGCTGAACAAAAAAAAGAGTTTTTACCTGATGATGGTGTTAATTAATACCTGAATCATCAAGCTATATTCTCCACACTAAGTGGATAATTCCAAAAAGCTGTGACCAAAAACCGCCCCGCCGGTGACGCCCAATGAGTTAGAGGATCTGCATGGTGATTCAAATTTAGTCAGAGGGTCCAAAGCAGTTGGTCTGCTTAGAATGAGCCGAGATGTCTGTTGGCAAAAAGCAAAGCAGTGACGTCATGATTATACCAGAAATCAGTCAGTGTTCAAAAGACTTTGTTTGTTTTTGGGGGGTGAGATGCACCATGGTCGAATTCACCTGTGTGAACACTGAAGCATGTATATGTGTCACTGACATGAAACTTGGTTTACGCTTTTATTCCCACTTTCCAACATTCTCAGTCCGTACGTCTCATTAAAAAATCACAGCAGTACTGCTCAGTATTTATTGTAATTCTTCTTTAGCTGTGTTTTGTAGCTGGTAATTATCCAAAGCAAATAAAACAATTCATTTTCAATTTGACTGAAATAAGTGGCCAGCCAAAGAGCAGTAATTCCCTTCTTGTTAACTTTAATAATATTTTCACCGTTTCTGTTAATCTAAACATAGATTTAAAGGCCAGCACGTGCACATGTGAGCACCATTATGAAATATATAACGATATGACTCCTCGATAAAACACTACAATCTGTGATCATATATCGATTTTTAAAAATAGGTCTGTGTACGTTTGGTAAACAATAAAGACCCAGGATGTAATAATCGTGCTTTCTTGACTTTAGACTAGATTTTTTTAATGTAGTGAAGCTTGAAGAATAAGACAGGACTGATGTGTTGGTGTTGTTGCACAGCAAATTACAGTGAGAGCTTCTGAAAAGCAACAACTTACACCTTTATTAAAGGACAGTGTGTTAATAATTACAGATGTGTTTGGTTTGATGTCCACACAAGCCTCTGCTGCCCTCAAAAGATCCTGGGCCGTTTCACAAAGACAGTTAATTCCAGTTCTTTTGGGTGATGTTCAGATACAGCAGAGCTTCAACAACATTTCCAGGGAAACAGGATGTAATGATTAGACCGTGCTCAGTGCCTCCAATCACGGGAGTTTCCAGGGTTTTTAAAATTTGCTGACATGAAGGGGATCAGGAGAAAGGTGGGAGGGGAGGCAAAAATCAGAACTAAAATTAAACTACAAAGTACACTATTTGCACCTAAAATATAGTGGAAATGTGGCATTACATAGAAATACTTTACGTTCAATACGTGAGTAAATGCACTAACTTGTTACTCTGTTCCTATACATCAGGGGTGTCAAACATAAGGCCCTGGGGCCAGAATTGGCCTGGCAAAGACTCCAACCGGATGGCACTGGAAAACTTTATGTTCATAAGTTTTATAACATTTCCCACTGATAAAGATCTCCCCCATGGCTTCTGATATTACACTGAAATAATTATTTAAACATTCATAGACTAACGCAAAGGACCGTTTCTTTGGCCCATCCCACTTAAGATCAAAGTGGTACGTGGTCCGTGCTATAAAATCATTTTGACATCCATGCTGTACGTGCTCTCATTCATTGGGTATTGTAAGATTAACAGTACTTTACTTTTTGCCTCCAAATGTGAGGACACATTAGAGCTGTGGCCTTCAGGTTATTAGTGCTCATGCAGCGGCAACCCCTGAACCAGATGGTGTACACCAGGGGTAAAAAGAGCCATCAGGCTGTAGAGGAGTCTTTTTCACTCGGTCAGCTTGTGGGACTCTGCAGGCAGCTGACCAGCAGGCCAAGCGGGCTGTGGCTTCAATGGTTGTCAAAGCAAAAACTCAGGCGTGGGAGGAGTTCAGCGAGGTCGTGGAGCTACGCTTTGGGTCAGCCTTAAAGAGATTCCAGCAGACTGTCAGACAACTCAGGAGGGGGAAGCAGCTTTCAGCCCACACGATGTACAGTGAGGATATTGTTCTGCTTATCTCAACTGAGAATATAGTCAGGGGGTGGAAGGAATAATTTAAGAATCCCTCTGCCTTTTACATAAATTATCTCTTGGCAGGCAGATACACAAAAAGATGGGCATGCTTTACTGCTTTGATATGTGACTCGATTACTTCGCTAAGGTTTCTCAAGCTGCATCTTGAAGCAAAGCATGTCTTTGAGGGCTCTGCTCAGCTATATGTTCAGTGTGAGTGCTTATATCACCAGATGTCCAGATGGTGGTGCACTCCACATCAGTAATCCTTTGCTACACGTCTGCAAAGTAAGGTAAAGTATTGATTAAACTGCTAAAAAAATATATCCCTGTGTATCAAAACTAAATGTTAGGAATTGTTTTCCAAAATAATCCTTTCATGCATCCCAATAGCTTCGGTGTAAATGTGTGGCTCACTGGATATACGAAGAAGTCTCCTTCACTCTCAGTCTGCACCCAACAAGCTGTGTGACTCCACTGAGGGGGACACAGTACCAGCTGACACTGGCAAAGTGTGTTTACTTTGCAGGAAAGGAAGAATAGAGGAAAATGTTTTGCTATTAGGTGCAGAACACAAAGCGGCCCTGCTCCAGCTGGTCAGAGAAGAGAAAAGGTCAAAAATCCTTCCAGAGTGTCGAGGTGCTATCAGCAAATTGAAAAAGAAATAAACTAAATTTTCACCAGAAGCTGAACTTCTGGATGAAGTGTTGTTGAAATTCTCATAATACATAACTCCCACCCCCACCAAGACATTGTAGACCTACATATGTTTTCATGTAGGTATGAAAACAGGCAAAGTTGCCATTGCCCCGTTAGATCTAATCTGAATCCGTGTTTTTGTTTGTTTGTTTGTTTGTTTGTTTGTTTGTTTGTTTGTTTGTTTGTTTGTTTGTTTGTTTGTTTGTCATTGATACACTAATCTGGAGCTGTTCCGCTCCCAGTGAGCTATTTTAGAATAAAATAAAAGCTTGCTGTGTATTTGATATTCTGTTATTCAGTAGAAAACATCTGCATACATGCGTGTGTACGTGTGAGATTAAAACACGCGCACTGACAGTAATGTGGGCTATACTTTAAACATATAGATCTCCTACGTTGCTAAGAAACCACATGTCTCCATTGTTTTTGATCACTGAATTGTGGCTTCCACTAATTAAAACGACTGAAAACGGCAACTAATTGGTTCATCGCACGCAGATGTCACGCTCTGTAGACGCTGTTTCCTCTGCGTGTTTTAACCGTGTCATTCAGCTGCTTTCTCAGCGGGAGGCTTATAAAAGCTTATAAAACGTTTTTAAAATCAATTTGCTCATGACAAAATCCTTCTGCTATAAATTCTTCTTCTACGCCTGTGAACTTTTGAAATTTCCTGAACACGATCTTGAGAGCGAGCGAGCGAGAGCTGTGCACGCGAGTCTCCTCACCGAGCACGTCATCACTGGGGGAGGCACCAGAGGGCTGGGTTAGAGGGAGTAGTCGGGAAACAGGAGAGAGGAGCGCGCTATAAGAAGAGAGAGCCCAGCAGGAGCGTCAAAACATTTAAAGCAAGACCGAAAGGAAAACGCCAGCGCGCTCAGAATGAAGACTTGAATCTCGAGAGAATTTTATTTTTGTTTGTTTGTGTTTTTCATGTAAGGACTATTTCAGGAATCTGCAAGTATTAAAAAACCAGGAAAGAAAAGAAAGTGCCGTCCGGCGTCGCTCTCCGTGTGTGTCAGCGCGCTGAGGTATCCTGGATGAGCGCAAAGTGTCAGCTTCAGCACCCGAGGAGAGGACAGCTCCGCTCTGTCTGCTCCTTTTTGGACCTCCAGTCCAAAAACTCTCCTTCGGCTTCTGATGTCCACACTTGGAGTTTGACGCTGTGCGCCCCATACAAGCCGGGAAGAAGTGTAAAAGGAAGATCCAGTGACGGAGAGAGCCGCGACCGACTGTGTGCTCAATATGTACCAGGGGCATTTACAGGTAAGGAGGCAGGATGTGCACGTCTCAATTAAGATGGAAAACGAAATGTTGCAGTTGTGATGGAACAAATGAACAAGATTTGGATGCATTTGTAGTTCATGTTAAGAGCTTTTCTGTTTTTTTCATTCCTTGTGGGTTTAGTAATCTCGAGGCACTGCTGTTTCGATGTTGACGCCGTATTTACCTGAGAGACGTCTGCTGATGCGGGCCCTTCAAGTTTTGGGGGGGAAATTTGCTCAAAGAGACTGTTAATACGTGAATTTAGTCCAGCACTCGAGTCTGCTACAGCCTTCATTAGCTGCGGTAATCACCGGGGAGACGGAGGGAGTGAAGGGCACTGTGGCGCGCCAACTGCAAGTGCAGGTGCGTGCCAAAGGTAAACAGGAGGCAAACCTCGTCTGTTTAACCAGGCAGCCCGTGACATCGCAACAAATCACTCGCGTGACGTCACGCAATTTGACGTCAATTTTCAGTCAGCTCTTAATAAGAGCCTGAAACTCATCTGAGACGTTAAAACGAGGCGAGCTGACGACGATCAGCTTTCTGACTTCAGCAGAGACCGGAGGGTTACAGTGAGCAGCTTCCAACAGCTGCATGTGTGGCGTGCGGTACAATCACACGCTGTCACATAAACAGTAACCCCCTCCTCTGCGGTTAATGTTAGCCTCTGCTTTGCTTTATAAACATGGAGTGAAATTTACACGGCTGCTTGACAAAGATACATCCGTTTCCAGACAGCTGATTATGTAATAAAAGACCAGCAGTCCTGAGTCAGTACTCGGGAGCTTTGAAGACCAACATTTAATATTTCATGATATATTACTCAAGCAGCGGTATTCATTGAAAATGCCAACAGTTCTTGCCTGGATGACCACGGACGTGTTTGTTATGGGAGGGTCAGCGGAAAACCTCAGAAACTGGATGATTTTTTAAAAAGGAGAAAATCACGTGCTTTGAATCAAAGTTTTCTCAGTTACATTCATGTTTCAGTTGTCAGACACTTTCTGTGTTTTTCATCACATCACACTCTGTGCCATGTTTAGATCACAGCTGTAACAAAACACTGTGCTTTCTAAGAGATTATACGGAAGTTATTTAGCAGCAGTGAATAATGGGAATATTTTTGCTTTGACATCCGCTTGTGTAAGGGATACATTTATTTTTCCATTCCTTTCTCCTTGAAGTAAAGTGTTTGCTTCTGGGAGAGCATATGAAATCTGAGCTATCTAAATCGGTAACACTATCAGACTCTTGTCGGGGAGACACTGGAACTGATAGCATGGCTTCTTTGGGGATAAAGGAGGACTGTTTTTCCTCGAAGAGAAGAGGCTAATATGCACATTTGTCAGCGCTTTTTTGCAGAAATTAATCAACGTGGAACACTTTTAGAGTTGTTCGCTCTTCATAACGGTTTAAATTGTATCACACACAGTCAGTAAAACATGAAGTGCACGTCCGTTATGTTTGCATTTTCACTTTTGCATCAAGCATTTCACAGGCCTAATGTGACCTCCAAATTGATGCTGGAGGTGGAACTCACTGGGCGTAATGGGTCGCCGGAATTTCAAGTGAAGCTCACACTGCACACACTTTGTGATGCATTACTGGGATAGGAAATCCGTCAGTCAGAGCTATCCCAAAGTAGCTACACTTGTAAGTCCTCCTTTATTACACAATTGTCAGTCAGCACGATTTGTCAGCTTATGAATGTTGCAGCTCAGGAGGCAGCTGGCTGGGGAGCGAGATAAGAATGTCCAGTTTCCATCTTACCATTTCTTATTTGATAACCTTCTCCTTTCCCTGCGACCTGGATAAGCGGAGCATGTGCGGGCCAGTGTGCAGTTTAATCCAAGGCTTTCTGTATTTCCATAAACACATTTTGCATAAGTGCAGGGGATATTCACACAATGAAACATTATTGGATGAATCAAATATTTTGGCCTGTGCATGGTCTCATGATTGATGCCAAGTGTTGGTTGGCTGTTGAGGATTGTGGTCTGCAGAGAGCTGCTGGCAGAAATACAATGCTGGACTTGTGTCTGCTATTTTTTCCCAGTTATTCTTTTTCCCCTAAATGAACCCTAAACACATGGTTAATGATAACACCCAGCATCCAGGCAGTTACAAATGTGTGTTTGCGTGTTATGGTATAAAACGTGACATCGAGAAACATTTTACCTTTAAGAGAAGAGTAAACCAAAGGTGTGTAACAGCTGCTCATCTTTATCAAAAAGCTACAAAACATACTGTTTCTGTTACTTCCCTGCATATTTCACTTGTATACAGTAGTACATTTATTAAAGTTTAAGATTTAGTACACCCATTCTTCATCAAACTACATGAGAACATTTCAATTTATACACTGCAATCGCTGAATTGGCTTTAGCTGCTTTGGTATTCGTGTTTACAGTATATCTAATTAGTGCGTGTACTGTGTGTATAAAACATACTGGCTTAATGGAAGCGACGCTCCAAGGCCTTTAGATGTTTGCTCTGTTAAGCGCAACATGATTACGTAATTTGATTACCATTTTTCAAGGCCCTCGGGGAGCATCTCAGATGGATGCTTTCGCTGATCAGAAGTAGATCAAGTCTCTTAAGATCACAGTCATTCACATCAATATTGTATTAGACGTGTACTAGATTTACTCATACAGTTTGCTGTCTTGGGTGAAAGCTTCTTAGTTTGCATTTCATTTCCTTGTCTTTTATTTGTCACAGCATGGCGCATATCTTTGTATTTTTGGGTTCTTCTCAGTGCAATCAGCCAAAAGCTTTTCTCAGAGCTATATTCATGTATTCAAATGCAAAGAGTATTTAGAGCATTTAAAAGTAGAATGGGAGGCAGAGCCTTCAGTTTTCAGGCCCCTCTTCTGTGGAACCAGCTTCCAGTTTGGATTCAGGAGACAGACACTATCTCTACTTTCAAGATTAGGCTTCAAACTTTCCTTTTTGCTAAAGCGTATAGTTAGGGCTGGACCAGGTGACCCTGAATCCTCCCTTAGTTATGCTGCAATAGCTGCTGGGGTTTCCCATGATGCATTGAGTTTTTCCTTTCCAGTCACCATAGACCACAGACCTCTCTGCACTGAATCACACTTGTTATCAATCTCTGTCTCTCTTCCACAGCATGTCTTTATCCCGTCTTCCTTCTCTCACCCCATCCCTAGCTTTCTTCCTGTTAAAAGGGAGTTTTTCCTTCCCACTGTCGCCAAAGTCCTTGCTCATAGGGGGTCATATGATTGTTGGGTTTATTGTAGGGTCTACCTTACAATATAAAGCACCTTGAGGCGACTGTTGTTGTGATTTGGCGCTTTTTAAATAAAATTGAATTGAGTAAAAATAAATTGTGGTAATCGGATGACCTGTATATCCTATTAAACACAAATATTAGAATATTCAAATATAACTACTCTGAAAATTTAAACAATGCTTAGTGGATAAAACCTTTTGGAGAACTTAAAAATATTAATGAATCAACAGATTCAGAAAAAACAAGGGAGCATACAAGAGCGTCAGGGTATCACAACCCAGCAAGAGAACGTATGCAAGCATGCATGTAACATCCTGAAACACCCTTTCATCGGTCGGAGCTGTGCAATCAATCAGGCTGTACTTCATGTATGTTAAACTCTTAATGTTGTTGTTGTAAGGTTTTTATCAGCGCCTGTCCCACAGCTGTGGCGGTCAGCTGAGGGACAGCAGAGGACTCCCGGAAGCTTTTTCCACTATTTTAAAGTCTCCTTGATTTAATGAACCATGGTCTTGATTAAGAGCCATTTAATAGGCCTGACTATTTCAGGAGCCAGGATAATGAGTGAAATCAGGTGGCATCCGGCTGGAACAAAAGCTCCACAGACAGTACTGCTCTCCTTGTTGAAAATATGTAGTGGGGCTTGAAACCTGTAGACGTCCTAACTACTGTAACACTTACAAACCGTTACATTATGGATGTTCAGGAGATTAGCAGCCCCTCAAACCCTGAACATTTATTATTCACCATTTATTTTTTCTTAAGAGTCTCAGTGGTTGTTAAAATCATGGTCTCTCTCACTGTCTGATGGTATCAGGGCATTCTAACTTTTCAATATATATGAGACTACTGTCTTATAAGGTGGCGAAGTTGGCCATTCAGGAGAGACACAGAGTAGAGTCGTTCGTAGGGACTGAGATGAGATGTTTTGGATTCTGGATTTCTACTAGCTAAGGTGTTGATGGTATGTCTGCCTGGAAGGAGAACCCAAGGCAGACTCAGGACATGCTCGGGATTATATCTTTTGTCTGGCATGGGAATGCCTGGGTGTCCCAGATGACTTAGAGAAGGTAGGTGGGGAGAGGGAGGTCCGGGCATGTCTGCTTTAAATGTTTCCCCTGCAACCTGGACTCATAGGAGTGGCAGAAGATGAACGGATAGATGGATGGAGGCACTGGGGTCTGAATTTGCGTTTAAACTTCTCTTTTTTTTACTTCCACTTATCAAAACATCAAAACCAACTGCAGTATCTTGTCTATGTACTCCTCGTGTCCCCAGAACATCTCTGGTTTTTCAGGGCTTAGAGACAGGTCCTCCAGGGACAGCAGATTTTTGGGTCCTGTTTGTTGCTGGGTAGGGACTTCATGAATCCACTTGTGCTAGTGCAAATGGTTTATTGGATTGGTATATGCAGAAATTGGAGGCTGAGTGGTGTCCTCGAGCTGTTCCTGAGCAGTGTTTGCAGCGTAGTGGAGTGCACTGTCTTTCTTGGGGACACAGCTGCTGTTAGGCCAGTGCCATCGCCACCATGTTTTTTTCTTTGCATGTATTGGGTGAAAAGGTTCATTTAAGTGGTGCTACGGGCCTTACGGACTAATTTACATACATTTAGATAGAAGTACTGCTTTGAAGCATTGTCCTGCTGCATATTCTGTGAAGTCATGCACAGCTGTTCTGTGCCATGAACACTAGTTTAACATTTGTGGTATTTAAAAATATAAAAAATACACATTTTCCAAACCAGAGA